TGAGGTTGAGCATGCTGGAGATCATGCGGACAGAGCAGAACAGGATAAAGTTCAGATCTGTTGTTCATAATGTTGCTGTGAGTTGTAGTCTACTTGGCACATATAAACAACCTTGTCCAAGGTGCGTGGGTTTCAGAATCTGCTTGTCTCTAGGAGTTTTGAGTTTTTTAAGTCTGTTGTTTACTCAGTGCTTACATGCCAAGCACTGGAATATAAAGGATGTAGTTCTTTTCTGACTCGATACCCTAAGCAGTGCTAAATAGAGTAACCTTTCATATATAGTGTAATAGTCTGATTCCTTGCTTCTGTGGCTTGAGAGAAGGCAGCCAGTATGCTCCTCAGAGCGAATGATGGTGAAATTTCATCTCACATATGTCAGGCACGTTGTTAGGAAGGGCCAGTACTTGGAAAAAGATATCATGCTTAGAAAAGTGTAGAGTCAGCGAATGAGGAGAAGACTCTTAATGGATTTGACACAGTGACTGTAACAGTAGGGTCAAGTGTGGTAGAGATGATAAGGATGGTACAAGATAGGGCAGGGTTCAGATCTGTTGTTCATAGAGTTGCTGTGAGTTGTGGTCAACTTGATAGCACATAACAACAACTTGTATGTTTTAGTGACTAGCTCTGGTGTGTGAGATGATTGAGAATTGAATGACACCTTTTGCAAGTGACTTTATTTTGTGATGAGTAGGAGCAGTGGGAGCAGAATGAGTATATAATTAAGGTATTGTGACTGTAGTCAAGAAATAGGTTTCCTGATTTGGTCATATTTCTTTTTTTCTTATCTGTTTGCTCTCTTTACTCTCAACTCTGCACCCTTCTTTACAGCTGACACATCTTTTGTCCTGTTCCAAGTGCTGGCATCTTGTCTAAGGTCCTTATTTACCTTTCTTTGAGATCCTCTACCATGTCTTTCTTGTATTTCAGTTACATGTGACTCTGTATCACCCTTGAGTCATTTTTTGTGCTTTTTATTAAATTTTGGACTTCCATAGATTGAGTCAGGAAACCATCATGTTTTCTTTAAGTCTTTTTAGGGAGCTGGGTTGCCTTACAGTACAAATTAAATATATTTGGTTATTTATGGCAAGAGATCTTGGGTTCGTAACTGTTCAGTGTTTGGTCTATGGGAGTTACTATCTTTTTGCTCTTAATATTCAGAAAACTAGCTTTTTTAAAAAGTTTAAGATGTTTTATTTAAGTACCACAATTAAACTTAATAAATTGAACTCTGCTAATTTGAAATCTGAAACAATTCAGACTACATTTTAGTGATTAGTTGAATGCCATTATGAAAGTAGCTGGAAATGACAGCTCAGGTAACTGAGAAAAGAATATGAAGGGAGTACTGAAGCTAAGGAGAAGAACAAACCTGGAAGAGTATACCACTCTATTCACGGAGGCACCCAACAGTTACTAAGTACCACGAGAGTATCAGAAGCCTCAGATTCTTCCTAGTCACTTTTTACTAATTAAAGTATCCTTGTTGTTATATACAGAAATTGCTGAATTGGTATATATTCAGCTTTGTGTATTCTCAACAATGAAAAATAAAAACATTTATTAAGATTTCATTTGGCAAATGAGTTCAGTAAGAGAGAATTATTTGTATGCATGCTTTATCTTTTCCTAATTAAAGGTGGTATTTCCTACTGTCTTCTCCCTGGGAGCACGCCTTCCTTGGCCTGTTCATCTTGATATGGCACAGGATGAGGCAAGGTTCTGATCTATTGTTCAGAGAGA